AACAAAATGAGCTCAGTACAGAAAATTATATGGAACAAAGAAATCTGCAACACCATGAAAAAGCACATAACAAAATGACAATAAATTCATACTTGTCGATAATTACATATTTGACAAGGGACTTACTTATCTTTAAAATTTGTAGAAAACTCCAACACCTCAACAACAAAAAGATTAATAATTCAATTAAAAAATGGGCAGAAGACATGAATAGACACTTTACCAAAGAGGATATTCAGGCAGCCAGCAAATACATGAAGAAATGCTAATGATCATTGGCCATCAGACAGAGGCAAATCAAAACAGCAATGACATATCGTCTCACCCCAGCACTAATGGTAAAGTTCAGCAGGACAGAAAACCACAAGTGCTGGTGAGGATGTGGAGAGATTGGAACTTTCATGCACTGCTGGTGGGATTGTAAAATGATGCAACTACTGTGGAAAACAGTATGCCAATTCCTTAAAAATCTGGAATTAGAAATACCATTTGACCCAGCAATATAATACTATACAATACTAGTTGTATATCCTAAAGAAATGAGAGCCAGGACAAGAACACATATATGGACACCCATGTTCACCACAGCACTATTTACAATAGCCAAAAGATGGAAACAACCTGCATGCTCATCAGCAGAAGAATAGATAACCAAACTATGGTACACACACAGTGGAATACTGTGCAACACTAAAGAATAATGTAGAATCTACAAAACACTGCATAACATGGATGAACTTGGAGGATATTATGCTGACTGAAATAAGTCAATCACAGAAGGACAAATATTGTATTAGTCCATAATTGTAAAAAGTCAAGGAAAGGTTTATATATGGAAGAAAACTTTGTTTGTTACTAGGAGTGGTATGGAAGGGGAGAGGAGGGAACACTACAAAAAAAAAAAAAAAAAAGCATTGACCCATGTCAGTTTAGTTTTGTGTATTTCACTGTACCTAAATCATATTTCAATAAAGTTTATTTAAAAAAATAATATTTTTTTTAAATTTAAATTTTACTGTGCTTTGGTAAATTTACAAGGCAAATTTGTTTTACATTCAACAGTTCATGCTCATTTGATTTCACACCCCAGTTACCATCCTCAACCATAAAAAACTCTCCTCACCTCCTGTCCCTATGACTAAGCCCTCCCTATGCCCACCCCCTCCCTATCTTAACTATGCATTCCTGTCCGTCTAGCTTTTTCGCTCTAAAAAAATAAAATAATTCTTAAATATCATTTTCACTGACATTTCATTGTAGTTCCTTAAATCTTAAAGTAAAATATGCCAAGTTCCTTGAATACAGGAACATGAATGCTGGCTGTTTTATCTGCTGTTTTATTACTCTTATTTTTGAGAGTATTACTGAATACTTCAGTAAATATTGTTATTTGATAGTTACAAGTGCAAGCTTAGTTTTGGTAAGCCTTTATTTCCTCTGTATTATTATTCTTCAACCTGGGAAGCATGTATATCCGTATAGTATATTGCCTTTTAGAGGATTAAATTAAAAAGAAAGTAGTTATTATCTGAATCCTGTGTTCTTTTTAATAACAAATAATATACAAATAAACTTACAGATTGTTTTAGAATGCTGGAGTTGGGAGAGACTCTGTAGATTATTTAAACTCATCTCTGCATTTATAGATGAGGAAACATGCTCAATGTCCACATTAATAATAATTAATAATAGCAGCCATTGTTTTATGATCAGGACCTGTGCCAAGCACTTTACCCTAGAGGAGTTTGTTCCTTCTGTGACTTGTTACTCTTCTAGTTCTATTACCTGCTGTTTCCAAGAGATGTTTAATGAATAGCATTATATTTGTTAAATCCTATTTTATATATCAATTAAATAATTTTTATATCTCAGTTTCAGTCACCATAATAAATTACTATTCTTATTATCCCTCCTTCCAGACAAGGCAGGTGTAAATCTTAGTGGACAGGAACACAGACTGTGGATAGGGCAACTTGGGCTCAACTGGATCAGCCAAAGTTTAGCTAGTCATGTGACCTTAGCCAGGTTCCACAGTGCCCTAGTAATAGTAGGTGTTCAGTAAATGTTAGCTCTGTTTTGACTTATATTTATTAGCTTTCATTTGTTATCTGAATAAAAAATGTTATTTGAATATCCTTCCATGTCTTATACCCTAGAAATAGGAGGAGAAAATAATAGATTCTGGTTTATCCTAAGCTATAGGTAAAGGGGGGGGGGGAGGGATGAAACTGCTTTTATTTATTTACAGTGAAGAAAGGAAGAGGAATGTGGCATTTATTGAAGGTAAATGGAGAATTACTAAAGAAAACTTTACTTGGCCTTAAATCTGAATATACTCTAGGATATAGTTCTTGTTGTTATTTGCTGTCAAGTCAGACCTGACTCATAGCCACCCCTCCTTGGGTTTCTGAGGCAGTATCACTACGGAAGTAGATTGCCCAACCTTCCTTCCAAGGAGTGGCTGGTGGGTTTGAACTGCCAGCCTTCTGGTTAGCAGTCAGGTGCCTTAGGCACTATGCTATCAGAGCTCCCATTAGGATATAGTAGTTTTTCATAATTGAATAGGAAAGTGTTCTGCTTTGTTATTTTTGTTTATCTGAGAATATTTTTATTTCTCCTTTACTTCTGAAAGATAACTTTGCTGGATACAGAATTCTAAGTTGGTATTATTTTTTCTTTTAGCAGTTTAAATATTTCACTCCACTCCTTTGTTCGCATGGTTTCTAAAAAGAAGTCTGATGTATTCTTTTCCCTGTTCCTTTATAGATGACATGTTTTCTTCCTAGATTTTCTCTTTGTCTTTGATTTTCTGCAGTTTCAATATGTATGGCAAGGTGTAGGATTTTTGTATTTATCCTGGTTTGTGTACTCTGAGCTTCCTGGATCTACAGTTTGGTATTTGTCAACCGTTTTGGAAAATTCTTAGCTATTAATTACTTAAATACTTCTCTGTCCTTTTTCTCCTCTGCTTCTGGTATTCCCATTATACATATGTTGTATCTTTTATAATTGTCCCACCGTTCATGGATATCCTATGGGTTTTTTGTTTTGTTTTTCAGTTTGGGAAGTTTCTATTAATGTATCTTTAAGCTCTTTCTTTCCTCAGCTGTGTCTTCAGTTGAGTCCATCAAAAGCTTTCATTTCCTTTGCAGTGTTTTTGATTTGTGGCTTCCCTTCTGATTCTTTGAGTTTCCATCTCTCTACTTATATTAACCATCTGTTCTTGTGTGTTTTCTATTTGGCCATTAGTGCCTTTAGCATATTAATCATAGTCATTTCACATTTTTTGTCTGATAATTTCAAAATCTGTGCAATATCTGAGTTTTGTTCAAATGCTTACTTTGTCTAATCAGACTGTTTTTGCCTTTTAGTATGCCTTGTAATTTTGTTGAAAACTGAACAAGAGATATAGGGTAAAGTAGTTTCTTTTTATAGTAGGCTATTTTTAAGAACAGAGCATTATTTCAAAATGTTTACCTTTCTCCTCTTCCTGCTGAGAGGACAAGGGGATTTTTCTCTATGTTATAGTAAGAACCTGGTGGGGCTCTTGGAGATAAAACTCATGGAAATATGAGGTCTCCTGATAAGGTTGGGCCTCTGAGAGTTTTTATCTTTCAGGCTAGTCTCACTCCAGAAGTTAGTCAATTACTCTTTAAGTATTCCTACCTCGAGGGCACATAACAACAACAACAACAACAACAACCCAATGTAGTGGTTCTCTTTCAGCCCATTTCTCCAGTTCTTTTGGGTGGTGGCTTGTCCTATAACTAATTCTCTGATGGATCTAAGAGTTGATGATTTCCAGTTTGTTAGCTTTTTTCTTGTTAGGATGGGAATGATGTTTTTTTCCAAGAAACTTCTTCCTAAAATTCCTATCTGGATTGCCTAATCTTTTTCCTCATCTCCCTAACATCTCTACCTACTGCTTCTCTGCCTTTTCTTCCGTAGCCTACTTTGTAAAGTTGGTTTTTTCCTGGGTAGTTTTCACATTCTTAAGCTCAGTTTGTACCCCTGGATTCAGTTACTTCCTATAGGTCATATTTCTGTGCTGCTCTTTATCATCAGGTCCAAAACTGAAGTTGGCTTCTTTCCTTCCGCTATATCTATGTCTGTATATATTATACAGTTCTCTAGAGTCTTCCTTATCTCCTAACTCTAATTGGTTATTTCCTATTGATTTTGTTTCCTTAATCTCCCCAATATCCATTTCCTTTTTACATCCCTACTGTCCATTCCTTGGCCCAGGCCCTCATAATTTCATGCCTGGATTTTTGTAATTTATTGGACATCCTGCTCAGAACCTTGCTGCCTCCTTTCAGCCTGTCTGCTACATGCTGTCAGCTTAATCTAAAACACAAAATTGATCTTAGAGTTGCTGTTTATTAGCATCCTGTTGCCTTAAGGGTTGATTTAAATTTCTTAGTATAGCATAAATGGCTCATCCTGATTTGAGCCATGCCCATTCCAGCTTTGTGTCAAGCCTTCTTCCCATGTGCATAAGCTGCTACAATTATACCCATCTATTTACAGATCTTCATGAATCAGTTTTTTTCATCTGTGTGTTTTTCCATGTATCTCTTCTATATGAATTTGTTAGACCTTCAGAATGCAGCTTGTTCCTCTTTAGCAACTCCCCTGTCCCCTCCTTTCCCATGTTTCCCATGGTGCTCTCAGCCATACCTCCTAGCACTTTGTACACTCAATTGTAATGCAGTCTTTACTTGTCTGCCTATAACATTATTTTCTCAAGGCTAGGAGCTGTGCCTCTCATTGCTGAACAGTACCATACAAAAAAGTACAAAATTCCTGTACACTAGATCTTTCATCTTTCATTTTTAGCTAGCTTAGTAGTCTGATGTTTGTAATAAATTTGCAATAATTGCTGAAAGTCTGCTTCTAAAGATTGAGCTTGGAGAACCAGATGCCTGAAACAAGGTTATTGAAAACCCGCAAAGTTAGTAATTCATTCTAAAGGGAGATTTTCTTTTCTTTTTTTGTAGCTATAATGATCCAGCTTTTTATGAAGAGTGCAAAATGGAATACCTGAAAGAAAGGGAAGAATTCAGAAAAACTGGAATCCCTACCAAGAAAAGGCTACAGAAACTTCCCACAAGCATGTAGGCAAATATTTAAATGACATTCATAAACTCCAATTCTTACTAAAGGCACTATCACTGGTATTAATGGACTCAAGATAAGGAAGTATCTTGTTGCTTTATCCTAAATTATGGAAATTTTAATTTTATCAGAAATAATTTTTTTTTCAATTTCAAAGTTCCAGTTTATTAAAAGTACTAGGAGTGATTAGTGTATGGTTTTCTTGATCATTCTGGATTTTTAATAAATTTTTCCAGAACTATAGTTCTACAACAGTGATGCTGATTTTTACATCCATGTTGATCTTATATTATCCTTTTCCATCGTAGAAGCTAATCACAGAAACCAAAAGTAACTAAAGGAAAGCTGAACTAGGCAGCCTTTAAGGATGCTAATAACTAGATAATATAGCAAAATGGTATACGTGAATCCTCCCTGATTCTACCACTTTTTAGCTATGTGGTTATCTATTAAATGTCACAGAGTTGTGAGAGTTTACTAAGTGTTGCTGGTAAGTTCAGTGTACGTAACAGTGCCTTGAACATAGTAAATATTATTTTATTGTTAGTCATTATTATTCATAGTAAAGCCTATTTAGAAACATAGATAAGTGATATGTACTTAGAATTAATGTTACTCACATGCTTGCATTATGATATCTCCTTCATCTTTTAACTTGGCTACTGAAAATATTTTAACCTTTCATTTTAAAAGGTCTTCTTGATAACATGAAATATCATTTCATAAGAGATCTCAGGAGCCAGTATAAAAAAAATTCTGTCTAAATGCAGTAATTAAAAGTTGCTTTTTTCCCATTAACTCTTCATTATAGCTTGTACCTGCTTCTAAGCAATTCAGAATTAGTGAATGTTATGTGTATTTACACAGACCTGATTAAAATCACAGAAATAATGGCACATTAGGACACAATTTAACTTTGGCCCCAATCCGAAGAAACAGATCTGAGATTATTTTTTATAAAGAACGTAAAGCAAATAGGACCCTAAAGGACCAATGGTTGATCAAGTTCTGCATTTTAGTGAATCACTCAAAAAACTACTCTTAATTTGAAATAGAAAGAAATCACATTTTCCTATGCCACAGAGCAAAAGGAGGGAGATTACTGAAACAGACAAAAAATAAAGCAAATATAGAAACCTGTATATGCTACATGGAGCATAGAGAGACACAAGTTTATATATACTCTTGTTGGTCTTTGGTACTGGTGTATTTCCTAGAGTATAGGACTTTAGTTCTTATTTTTAATGATGACCTAAATGAAGCCAGTAAAATTACTTTAAGAAGCTAGGGAGTTATATGATCTGCACTTTTTATAATTTAGAATAAAATAAAAGGAACCCACTTCAGTTTTACATGGGACATTCACTTATGTAAATGTCACGTTCCCAATAGGCACTAGACAAATTAGGTTATGTAGCATAATATATTCATACCTCTTTACTGTATCAAAAATTAAACCATTCAACATAGCTTTCAGAATACACATCCACTTATGGTTACTTACGAGCTCTGGTGGCATAGTGATTAAAGCATTTGGCTGCTAATCCAAAAATCGGCAGTTTGAAACCACCAGCCATTCCACAGGAGCGAGAGAAAGAGGCAGTCTGTTTCCATAAAGATTTACAGCCTTCAAAACCCAGTGGGGCAGTTCTACACTGTATTACAGGGTCACTATGAGTTGAAATCGACTTGATGGCAAAGAGTTTGAGTTTGGTTTTCATCTCTACTTGTGACTACTTCTCTGTGCATGCCTCAGATATGTCTTATTTGTGTGTGTGTTTAGATTATTCCCAGTTCATAAGTGGGAATCCACAGGTTTTTCTGCCCCTTAAAATTTACCTTCTCCAAGTGTCTTTTCTGGGTGATCATTACTTTACATGAGTCAGTCTTTTAGTTCTTTAAGTCTTCAATTTTCACCTTATTTATTTTTGTTTTCTGTTTCACACATGGGTATGTCCTTGCTCTACTTGTGAATTTGGTTCCCTTTTGGCAGTATCTCAATAAAATAGTCTTTTTAGAGAAGATGTAAATATTACTTTGGCTAATAAGGGGTTAAAGGGAAGGAATAGGTGGCTTTTTTCTTGTTAGCTGTCTTTCTCTTCATCCTGTTGAGTTACAGATGTACCGAATTGAGTAGACACTATAAAAAGAAATCTAAAGATTAGACATATTTAAGGGAATTTCTTTGGAGCAAGTCTAAACTAGTATAGAAGAGGGCTACATAAATTTTTCAATTTAAAAGTGATTGTAAGGTACTGATAGGCCACACATATAATTTTTTATCTTAGTACGTAAGAATGTATTAAAAAATTTCTGACCATGTATAAATGGGGGGGGTAATCTTTTCTTACTAGAGTCTTACACGTTTATGTAGCATTTTAAACTGTCAAGAACATTCAACCACCGAGTTTCTAGCATACCTAATAGGTATCCTTACTCTACTGTTTAGATAGAACAGCATTTTTCCACTCAAAGGAAGTTGGTTTAAAGATTAGCAAGACAAATTTCCGTATGAATCAAATTAACAACAGTTTTAGTGCTTGACCTTGGAATACATAGGCAAGGACAGTATTTCACATCCACTTCAATTTCAAACAAAAATAATTTATTTTAATGAAACAATTCTTGGCATTGTTCAAAACATTAATCAAGCCATTATCTCACAAGACTTACTTTCTTTACAGAGGGAAATTCCAATTTGATTTAAAAAAAGGCAAACCAGTAAGCTACATTAGAGATTAGATACAGTATTACAGCCTATGCAGCCACATGAGAAATATAGTTTCTGCTGCTTTGTTATTACACAGGTAGTTGCTTCCTTCAACTAAAGCCTGGAGTCTTGTATTTGTTTTATGCATATTGAGTTTTGTTCTATTACTTGGCAAGAGAATGTACTCCCTTGAGTCAGCTGTGTTCATTGGTCAGAATAAATTCCAGCATCTGACACCAATTCCATTAATCACAGACAAGCTTGAATAAATGCGTAAGATAATAGAAAGACAAAAATATCTGGTGAATGGTGAATACTGTTTTTGTATGTATGCTACTCAGTAATATAGAAGAGATAGGAGATATTCTTTTAAGATATATGAAACTGTCTTATCAAAAAAGATAAAGGCCTCCTACATGACATACTTTATCCCCAGGCAAAAGGTGTAAGAAATAAGCAATAAATTTTATCATTAATATTCTTAATGCCTCCACCCTGAAGTTTAGATTTCCCCATAAATGTCTATGTGGAGCCATTTGTGTTTTTTCCTCGTTTATACATGATAGGCTACCAAGAATGAAAGTTTGGGGAAATTTCAATGATTAAACTATCAATACAGTATAAAATTTGGTTTCTAGAATTAAAATTCCTAATCCAATTAATTAAAAATGATCTCCATAATTAAAAACGTTACATTTAAAAATAAATCCTAATATTTGTAAGCTGTTCTGTAAGCAGCTATAGTCCTTTTGGAGAAAATGACTTTACATACATACAGTTTTTCATTGTGGATAACAGAAGAGACAGATTAGACTGAAAGCTTTATCTTTTTCCCTACTTCTAACTGGATGTATGGGTTAATAATAATTTACTCATACAACACATAGTTTTACAACCATTTCATCATTTTTTTTTTCAACTATGATTTGAAGGATGTATAGGAGAAAACTGGCTTCAATGATCAGGTTATTATTTCGAGTCTTGGAAATAAAATTGCAATTGTAGACTTTATTGACAATATTGTGATTAAGAAATGATTCTCAATTTTAAAAACAATGGCATATAGAGATGGAATAACCTACACACTAAAATATTCCACTGTATCTTGATGTATCATAAGGTCAACAAAAATATAACATATTCACATTTCCTTTTACTCTTTTATGCAATTTGAAGCAACTTACATGATTCTAATTTCATAGAGTACACTCTTGATTATTTTTATAGATGACGTATTTAGGCGTATCATACGCTTTGTAAAACCATGTTTAAATAAACAACAAATTCCATTCTTTACCAGAGTTTGAAATTCACAACAGTTGTCATAAGTGGTAAAAAAAAAAAAAAAAAAAAGTAAAAATAACAGTCTTTTGAAACACTTTTAAGTAATTTATTAATAGCATACATCTGATTCTTTGCCAGAATGTGGTGCAGGAAGGTATACTTTCATACTAGAAAATTAACTACGTAATTATGGTACAGTATGTGCAAAGGTATAGATACTGAAAAACTGCAATGTTTAATCAAAACCATTCAGTTTGTTAAATAATTTCTTGCAGGAAACACTGAGGGAGATACAGCATCCTTGTAGCCAAATCACAAATCTCTTCAGAATTAATTCTTATAAAGGCAGTTTTGATTATGTTGATCCAGATAATGCAGTGATAGCATGTTGGGTAAAGGTAAAATTTTGCTTCTGGTTTCTCCAAATGCTATCTCACTTGATTTAGGAGGACTTGGGAATACCCAAGAATTGTCTTCCAGAGAATTTCTGCCATAGGAGTTGTGTTCCTGAAAGTTAGTACCATCACTAGTAATGGTTCTCTCATTATCTGTCCATGATTGGAGAACTGCTTTCTCTGATAAAATCTTTGTATCGCCTGGTAAAGGAGAAGATGTGATATGAAAAAGAGCTTTGCCATTTGGTGAGAGAGGGGAATGTCTTTTGTATGTTGCAGTAAAATTCGTTAAGTGCAGTTTTGTGCTGTCTCTCCCAAGGTCTTCAACGCACCCTACTGTGGCACAGGCTAAAAAGAAAGCACAGGCGTGTCAGTTTTTAAGGCATTTGTAATCATAAAATACTGCAACACTTCATTAATTTGGTTGAATTCTAGAAGTGATAATGAAGTTGAAATTTCTAAGTTAATGGGATGATTGAAGCACTGTAACTTAGGGGTACACCATCTGAGTTCCAGTCCTGGACCAGCTATTTACTGAATTGTGACCTTACGTAAGTCACTTAACTGCTGTGTCACTTTCCTAATTTTAAAATGGATATAGGTATTCTATCTTGCCTATATCATAGAGCATTAAGGATGAATGAAGAATTTCATTTAACAGTTGAAAATGAATGAAGTTAAAATACAAGTAATAATCCTGTCCTTGGTTTTTATTGTGGCTCACAGATGACTTGAGAACTGTTGACTTCTCAGTAGGGATTGAGAAGGTGGTTCTTAAGGTTGAATACATTTTAGCTAAATATAATATTATTTTGCTGCTTTAAGCATTTTTTTCCATAGCCAGTCTAGAAATAATTTTTTTCAAAAATATTTATATTATGAACTGTTAAAACCCAAAATTCCATTATGGAAGTTTGAATATACTCCTGTGTTTGGTAAAATCCATATAAGTACTAAGTACAAATTCTCAAATTCTGTTCTGGTCGCAATATAGGTCAGCTGAGGAGGAAAAAGAAAAAAAAAAAAAAAAGTGTGTAGTACACATGCACTACCTTTGTTGTTGTTGTTATGTGCCGTCGAGTCGGCCCCGACTCATAGCGACCCCTCCTTGGGTTTCCGAGGCAGTTATCACTACGGAAGTAGGATTGCCCAACCTTCCTTCCGAGGAGTGGCTGGTGGGTTTGAACCGCCAGCCGTCTGGTTAGCAGGCAAGTGTCTCAGCCACTATGCTACCAGAGCTCCCAAAACTAAAATTGTTCTAAAGGTATTATTTAGCCATAAGCTGGCAATAGTGGTAGTATAAGCTTTTTCTTCCCATCCAAATTTACCTACCAAGGTACAAAAGACAAACGTACTTTAAGCTCAAGAAGATGCCAAGTGCAACTAAGGCTTGACTCTGTGGTTTTAGAAGAAACAAGTTGAACCACATTTTAAAAGCTCTTTGCTTTTTCTTGTAACAGTAGAGGCAGGGGTGAGTTGAAAATAACAGCATCCAGCTTCTGGATAAAGGTGGTGTGTGGGTCACAGAAAGAAGGTGATCTAGCCTTTGCTTCTCAAACCAATGAGCTCTGTATAAGAAGGGTGACCTTGAACCTGCCGATGTCCTTAAAAATGTGCTTAGGAAACTAATGGTCCAAAGCACCAGAAGATATATATCATTTACCACCTTGAAAGGGACAAAAGAATGAACTATTTCCAAGTATGGAAAAGTCATTTTTTTTATTATTCCTTGGACACTATACTTAATATGTAAGCAAACAGCTACACCAAAAACTCCCTGCAAAATTATTCTGAGTCTCTTAAGATGTTTTATTTCCACCATCAATTTATTATCTCCACAAATATAACCCTGACCACTGGGAAATTCAAAGGCAAGCTTAACCAGAACGTAAACTAAGACCTGTTAAAATACCACATTTTTATGTTGCCGGTTTCATAAATAACTCTCCAGACACTGAAAGGAATATATCCCCTATTCTGAATCGTTTTCTTTCCCAATGTGTTAACATTTTCTTATAGTAGTGAACTTTCCCGAGGAGAATTATTCAGAAACACAACTAGATGGTAATTTTTTTTAAAATTAAAAACTCACATTTCATTTCTTTAAAAAAGGAAATTTTAGGGCATTCAAATTTGTATTACACAACTTTTGAGAAATACACCCATTACGCAATTGGAGATAAAAATGCACTAACTTTTCTGTGAGGTATAAAAATAGCTTCAGCAAAGTAGCCACAACACAAAACTCAACAATTTTAATCAATTAGGTAGTTAAATACAAAAGGCACAGCAAGTAAAATTTTTGTTGGGCTGAAAGGGATGAGGAGAAAGCACTTAGTTTCTGTTGTAAAAAATGTATCTTTTATGGAAAGAACAATGATGTTTGCACATGTCTGGTTAAAAAAACAACCAAAAAAAAAAATCAAAATTATTTTTTTCTAAACAGTTTAAAAAGCTGACTTTCACGTATTCTGTAGCACTGGAATGAAAAATAGCATTTGGTGTCCTTTTATTTTTGTAATATATGAAGTAGTTGTGGTAAAAGGTCAGCTAGAGCAAACTTAACACCTCAGCCTTATACACATAAGCAACACTTGGCTGAGAAAAAAGCCACAAGGGGAAAAGAATACAGTACTGAAGAAAAAAAACATCAGCAACACCTTTATGTGTGAAGTTGACCAGTGTAAGACTGCAGCCAAAGTAGAGAATAGGTAGGCTAGGAACATACTATATGTACTTTGGTTTATCAAACTCCTTTGATGAGATTTTGATAAGATACTACAGCTAGTTGCTCTTTAAACAGTTTGGCTGGAATCAGTGGTTTCCTGCAAACAGTGACTTGCCTTTCTTGATTGCAGTTGGGGTTTTCAGTTTTCTCAGTAGTTCAGCTTGTACTTGAGTCACCAGATGTAAATTAGACATTTCTCTCTTCAGTTCCCAATATGCATGCTGCATATTATCACTGAAATACAGGTTTAAAGGGGGGGGGGAAGTTAATGGTCATTAATCTCTTTCTGGACAGAGGAAGCAACTTTCAAATAGAAATAAGCAGTCTGTGGTTGTGCTAAAGTTAGTTTTGAGATGATATATATAAAAATCCCTCATTAAGTAAAATAAATGAATTGGGTATGTAATTAGGGCATCAAAATAAGTGAAAACACCTCATAAGAATAGCATTGTCCTTCTAATTTCTAGCACTGTATTAAATAGGTTATTTTCTAAACAGTAAAAGTTTTCTGGATTTATTCTCAGAGTGCAAATTTTTGTTTTTGTAGTCTATCATGTGCAGTGGCTTAAATATAATTGATAGGAATATAGTCTATTTGCAAATGATCAAGAATAAAGTTATATTCATTCATGTATGATATAAGATTTGTATTTATCTCCTAATCATTCTGTTTTGATGATGTGAATCTGTCAATTGCTAAATACATACCCAAGCCTACACTGAAATAAATTTTAGGTTTCATGCATTACATTCTTTTATGTTTGACTGGGCTGTCTCATATTGTTGGTTCTAAACCAATGTGACATGACAGCCCAAGACATGAAGAGCCAGATGATTTCCTGGTAAGGGGAAAAGAAGCTAGAGAGGGAGGATTTGAAGAAACCAAAGTAAAACTTCACAAATGGCTCTGATATTTTAATATTTAAAAGAGAAACTATAAATTAGGGATTTTAAGCCTAATGTTGGCAGCTTTTAGTTTTCTGTTAAACATTGTGATTGATGATTTTATTTTTAGGCTCTTACTTGCCAACAATATGAATCGAAATCTTCAACGTACATTCTTTCTTAGTTGTACAAGAAAGCTAAAATATTAAAACTAGGGATAACTGATCTGATAGCACTCAAACATTATCTCTTACTATTGTAGTAGTACAGAAATCAAATTATATAAACATGTGACCTTATAACCTCAATCTGTGCTTAGCCATAAACAAAAACCTTTCAATGGACTTCAATGGAATAATATTCTTGTTAACTAAATCTAGTATCTTATTCCAGTTAAGGATGCAACAGATACATTTAAAAACTGAGTTTAAAATTATGTCAAGTTAAATACTTTTGTGTGTAAAAATATTTCTATTCCACTCAGACTAATTCTTTTGATAGAAGCAGGAGAATAAAACTTATACTGCTTTTACAAAGATTACATTTGTTTTTATTTTTTTTGCTTTTTGGGAAGATTAGCTTTAGTCTGTTGTAAACTTCACTTGTTAACTAGTAGTGTAATAAGAATCACAGTGCTTTTTGCAGGTTTTAGATAAGTGTGAAATAATTACTTAGCAAAAATTAGTTAACCACTTTTACTTTACCAGTAAACATTTGAGATGTTTATTACAATGAATGTTTCACATAGGTACTTGTCTTAAGTGTGAAGAGCGCTGTTGGTTCCTTGGTGCAATTCTAGGCATCAGATATGCTTTCCAAAGAGTTACTCATTACAAAGCAGTAAGTATAAACACTGTACATGTGCTACTTCATAAATACAGTCATGGTATGAATAATACAATTTAAAGGTTTTTTTTTTTTTTTACCATCTTATTCCCATAAGATGATAAATCAGTGTATGACTTGGAGAAATGAAAAGTAAATGTCCAAGATGTGTATGGGTATTGAAACACCAAGAACATCTAATAATTAATGAATAGATAGCTAATATAAAAGAGAAAAAATTACAACAGAGGTGTTAAAGCAGTGTCCAGTACGTTTTCTAGTTCAATTTAATGGATAGTGCTTATAAATTAGGAACTGTGGTTGTACGACGGAAAAGTATTCGAGTGCTAACTAAAAGGCTTGGCATTCAAACTCAAGAGGTGCAGTCTACTTCCCTAAAGATTTACAGCCTTGGAAATCCTATGGGGCAGTTCTACTCTTTCCTGTAAGTTCACTGTGAGGCAGAATCAGTTGGATGGCAGTGGGTATTTTCTTTTTTTGGCTTATAAACTAGGTCACTGAGTTTAACACACATATAATCTATTTTCTATTGTCCTTGTTGTTGTTGTTATGTGCTGTCGAGTCAGACCTGACTCACAGCGACTCCTCCTTGGGTTTCCGAGGCAGTATCATCACTACAAAAGTAGACTGCCCCCCATCTGCCTTCCGAGGAGTGACTGGTGGGTTTGAACCGTCAGCCTTCTGGTTAGCAGTCAAGTGCCTTAGCCACTATGCTACCAGAGCTCCTCTATTGTCCTTGTTGTTGTTGTTGTTATTTGCCGTCGAGTCGGCCCCGACTCATAGCGACCCCTCCTTGGGTTTCCGAGGCAGTATCACTACAGAAGTAGGATTGCCCAACCTTCCTTCCGAGGAGTGGCTGGTGGGTTTGAACCGCCAGCCTTCTGGTTAGCAGTCAAGTGCTTTAGGCACTATGCTACCAGAGCTCCTATGTCCTTAGTGTTACCTTAATTAAAAACTACAGCTAAAAATCTAACATTATTACTAAGTATAAGCTCTCCCTCTTGTGGATAAAAAAATAATGGCAGCTAGTATTACTTACAGTTAATAATGTTTACAGTCTTCAAGGTTCTGATCCACCAAAACCAAACCCAGTACCATCGCGTCGATTCCAACTCATAGTGACCCCCTTTGGGTTTCTGAGGCAGTAAATCTTTACGAAGTAGATAGCCCGGTCTTCCTTCTTCAGAGTGGCTGGTTTGTTTGAACCACCAACCTTCTGGTTAGCAGTCAAATGCCTTAGGCACTGTGCCACATCTCCTTTCAAGTTTCATCTCAAATAATGGTTTAATCATTTTGTTCAAGTATATAGAGATTAAAATTTTTTACAAGCTTCTGATAGTATATGAAAGATTTTAATTCTTTCTACTTGAAAAAAACGTTTAAACCATTATTTGAGATTGAAAAAGGCAAGTTGTCACCCCACAAATATTTAACAGGTTTCAAACTAGCCTTCTTTACTTATAAATAAGTAATTTTTGACATCGTAAGTAAATTGTCCCCACTTGCCCTCTCCCCATAGTTCTCCATATACGCAAACAGTTGTCTATAAGGAACTTACAAAACACTTGAAAAATACTGAAATTTAACACTAAAGCATACCAAATAAGAACCCTAAAGAATAAGAGAGAAAAAACAGAAAAATAATGTTAGTTGAGCATTTTGTCGCAGGTTAGACACTTTATTCATGTTCTCACACCAACTTGGGTAACTGGGTAACTTAATTTTACACATGAGAGAACATTTTCAGGAGAAGTTATACTTTATCATGTCGCTGCTCAGAGCTGTCCTTCAGTTATTCAGTCTAATAATGACTGATTACTACCATTTTGAGGGAACGTTCTGCATATCATCATCATGTATTTACTAACCATGTATATAATACACTCATTGCCAATGCAACCTTTACAGCCTCAATATAAGATTTCATATCTCTAAAGTTTGTATGTATTGAAACTTCTCCACATTTCAAGGAGTACATGTTTAGCTCACAAAGTGTTGTTAGGTGCCATCAACTCACAGTGGCCCTATATACAACATAAAAAAACAGTGCATGGTCCTGCACCATCCTTATAATGGTTGCTATATTTGAGCCCATTGTTACAGCTACTGTGTGTCAATCCATCTTGATAAGGGTCTTCCTCTTTTTCACTTACCCCCTACCAAGCATGATGTCCTTCTCCAGGAACTGGTCCCGACTGGTAACATGTCGAGTATGTTAGATGAAGTTTCACCATCCTCCCTTCTAAGGAGCATTCAAGCTATATTCCTTCCAAGACAGATTTGTTTGTTCTTCAATCCCATAATTCAAATGCATCAATTCTTCCGTCTTCCTTATTCACTGCCCAGCTTTCACATGCAAGAGGTGACTATAAACACCATGGATTGGGTCAGGCGCACCTTAGTCCTCAAAGTGACATCTTTTGATTTTTAACACATTAAAGTCTACCAAGTGCAATATATCCTTTGATTTCTTGACTGCTGCTTCCATGGGTATTGATCATATTTCATTCAAGTAAAATGAAACCTTTGACAACTTCTATCTGTTCTCCGTTAATCATAATGTTGCTTATTAGTCCACTTGTGAGGATTTTTGTTTCTCTTATGTTGAGGTGTTATCCACACTGAAGGCTGTAGTCTTTGATCTTCATCAGTAAGTGCTTCAAGTCTTCTTTGCTTTCAGCAGCAAAGTTGTGTCATCTGCATATTGCAGGTTTTTAATGAGTTTTCCTCCAGTTCTGATACTGCATTCTTAATATAGTCTAGCTTCTTGGATCAAGGTATCAGCATAAGGATTGACTATAATGAAAGGATACAACCCTGATGCATACCGTTCCTGATTTTAAACCATGAAGTATCCCCTTGTTCTGTATGAATGACTGCCTCTTGATATATGCACATGTTCCTCACGAGCACAATTAAGTATTCTGGAACTCCCATTCTTCGAAATATCCATAATTTGTTATGCTCCACACGGTCAAATGCCTTTGCATAGTCAATAAAGCACAGATAAACACCTTTCTGGTATTCTCTGCTTTCAGCCAAGATCCAGCTGATAACAGCAATGCTATTCTTCATTCCACGTCCTCTTCTGAATCAGGCTTGAATTTCTGGCAGTTCCCTGTCGATATACTGATGCTACTGCTTTTGAAATATCTTCAGCAAAACTTTACTTGGGTGTGATATTAGTGATATTTTTTGATAATTTCCATATTTTATTGGATCGCCTTTCTTTGGAATGAACACAAATAATATATCTCTGCCAGTCAAATTGGCCAAATTCTTGACAAATTTCTTGGCACATGAGTGAGCACCTCCACACTGCCTCTATTTCTTGAAATGTCTCAATGGGTATTCTGTCAATTACTGGAGCCTTGTTTTTCACCAGTTCCTTCAGTGTACCTTAGATTTCTTCCTTCAATACCATTCGTTCCTGATCATATGCTACCTCTTGAAATGGTTAAACATCAACCAATTCTTTTTTGGTATTTAAAAAACAAAAACAA